GCGGTTGAAATAATTTCTTATAAAGAAATTATTCCAATATTCACGTTTCTAGAAAAAGAATTTACCTATAATCCTAATGCGTTTATTAATTAATTAATTCCAGGAGTCTCCGATAAACACCTAAAAAATTGGATAGATGATGTACCCTTAAGAAATCTAATCACATGGATTAGTAAGTTCCCGTTTAGACATGGAATGGTGGTAGATCAATTTGGAATTTCCTTAAAAAAAATCAAGCATTAACTTTTACACAAAGTCCAATTGTTTTCAAAAGAGATAATTATTATTTGCACCTTGTTCAACCCGAAACTCGCATGAAAGAAATTCTTTTAAGAAATAGTATCACTCATAAATTTAGTTCGATTCCATTCATTGAATACAATTTACAACACAAATTGGCAATATTTACTTATTTTTACATAATGAACTGATCAAAATATCTCTTTATCAATGCTTTGCTCCCCTACAAGTCTTTATATAAGATGTGGAGGACGCAGTTAGAAGGATTCACCGATGGTAAAAGAGGCTCGATGAACTTCAGTATTTATGGACAAGGCCCAGAATTTCAGATTAAGTCTGGTACAAGTGGTGGAGGCGAAAGTATCATACAACACAAAGCCTTGGCTATTTTTGAAGGGGATAAAAGAAAAATGTATGATGGTAAAGAAGCGGAATGGAAAACATCCTTACAAGATTTTAGATATTGAATTTCGCAAACCCGTAAGCATCTTTGAGTTCTTAGAAGAAAATTTAAAAAAGAAATAAAGAAAATTATTGGAAAAAGAATTATTTATTCTAATGTTCAAGATTACAGATTTGAATTTAATAATTTACGTAACATAGTTAGTCTAGAAATGCCTGGAGATGTTGAAAAAATTTTCTCAAATCCTGATATTGATTCTCAAGTGTTCGCTACAATTCTTAACACGGATGAAAATAACGATATATTCACCTACATTTTATATACTCCAGAACCTTATGATGTTCTGAAAATTATCATTAATTGTGTTCAATCGAATCATGAGCAGCAAAGAGCTTGTCAAGTTAAGATAGGTTGGATAATTGTTGGTTACAATCTAGATATTAATTCTGCACTTTCAAGTTCTGATATTCGTTTTCAAAGCACTAAAAAAATACATGTACTATTAAATAATCCTAGCGAAAGACAAATATTTAAAATGTCTGAGGACAATCTTCTAGTAGCATGTAGAGCACCTGTAGTATCTGGCCTGAAATTATACTACATACATTTAGCTATTGGTTATCATTTCAGCCTATGCGAAACTGCTAAAAAAACTTTTGCATGTCATATATACCTATAAATTTCGTTATTTATCAAACATGTTCTAATTTCTCGGGAGCCATAAATCTTAAATTCTCTAGTAATATCTCTGAACTTTTGACTTAAACCAAAATTAGCAATTTTAGCCTTGTGATTTCCGTTTATCAGTATGTTTGCACCTCTAATATCGTGGTGTAAAATCTATGACAATATTTTAATATCAAAATCGAAGATCAGATTAGTAATGATAATCATATATATATAATATAAATACTGTTATATGTATATACCTAATAAGTATAATGTACATCCCGAAAGTGAAATTGGCATAAATTAGTTTTGGTTGGCTAAACATCAATCCTAAATAAAAATAATTAAAAATATAAATAATGCAGAATGTAAACAATGTGAAACATAAACAATGCAAATTATAAACAACGTGAAATATGAACATGATTCATGTTCTCTGCAATTGTGTTTAGTTGTTTTTATTTTGTTTCCATTTTTAATTAGCATTGTTTATCTATATTTATTTTAGATTGTTTATTTATTTTGATAAAAATTTTTTTACATGTTTGTTTTATGAAAATTTTTATATATAAAGACATGAAAAATTCTCTGGTAAACTTTATGATCTAAATATTACTTTTATATTTTTTTTACTTTAGTGATCCTACCTTTATTTTATTTATTAGAAGTAGATTGCAAAAATGCCCTCAGCTAGCTAGGCTTACATGCAAATCACTAAACTACTATATTCTTGTCCAAATAAAGATTCTCTCGATCTGTCTTATTATTGCAGTAAAACCACAGCTAAAGCCAAAATTTTACGCTAAAGTATGACCCAGGAGCAACCCGCCTAAGTGAGAAATTTTCTCCTTTCAGGATCCTCAACTTACAGAGAATATGAGCCCCAGATATCAACAGATAGAAGTACTGACCTTGTCAGAATCACCACTCTACAATAGAGTGTCACCAATCTGATAATACTTTCTTGTAGAGAAGT